CAAGGTCCCAGGGCCAGCACTGGTGGGGCCCAAAGCAGGGCACAGGCTGGCAGGGGTCTGTGAAGCCGGGCTGGCTTACACCAGCAGGGAGAGCGGGGTGCTGGCCTGGCTCCATAGAGCCCCCACCGCTGGGACCCCTGTACTCCTGATGCCCTGCTCTGGGCCCCACTGGCACTAGCCCCAGGACACTGGTGCAGGCCCTGTGCTCCCACTTACCCCCAGTGCCCCCCAACCCTGTGGTACAGGTGGGGGCAGCATGCAGCTCTGACCCCACGCTCACTGGCAGGGAACGAGCTGATGCTGAGTGCAGGGAAAAGCAGCCCCTCCCCTGCCCCATGGCCAGCACTCCCTGCTTCAGTCGCTCGCAGCCCTCATGGGGCTGTCCAGAGCAGCCCCATGTAGGCTGCGAGTGGCTGCAGTGCGGGGCCCCAGCCACAAGGTGCGGGAGATGCCACTTTTTCCACACAGCACCAACTTGTAACCCACCCCACTGCCAGCCTGGGCCCTGCGCTAGCTCTGGGCTTGTCCATAGGGGCTGTGCCACGATGGCAGCAGCTGCAGCCCCCACTGCTTGCCATGCCAAGCAGTGTTTACCACCACCACCTCTGTGCTGCCCAACGCAAGAGCTCTGGGTGGGCAGCAGCAGCAAACGCTACCCTGCGCAGCAAGCTGAGGTGGGGGGCCGCAGCTGCTGTCGCCATACACAGCCGTGACAGGCAAGCCCGGAGCCAGCATGGGGCCCAGGCTTGCAGCGGGGGTGGGTTACAAGCTGGTGCCGAGCACAGAAAAAGTGGCCCCTCACCCACCCCGTGCCCAGCTGCAGCAGGGAGCGTCGGCCATGGGGTGGGAGAGGGGCTGCTCTTTCCCAGGCTCCTTTCCTGCCCAGGGTCCTCCCCTATCTTCCCCCACCCCCCCTTACCTGAGTTCCTGGTGTGGTGCAGTCACACGGTCCCAGGCCAGAAGCCCCTGCTGGGGATTCCAGTTGATAGGGCAGGGCCGGGGGAGTCCTGCTGTTGCAAAAGCCCGCCGGGCATCCCCTGGGTCCTACTGCCTGTGGTTTCTGTCATTTTTGACAGGAACCAAGGAAAATATTAAATATTAATTTTCTAAATGTTTTAGGGGCTGGATAAAATGGCCTCGTGGGCTGGATCCAGGCCACGGGCCATATTTTGCCCAGCCCTGACTTATAGCCTAAAAGGAAAACAGCCAGCAGCCTAATGACTCATCAATTAAACAGAAAAATGAGCATCTTCACAGGTGCTCCCTCCTTCCCAGTGCAGGGCTTCACATGGGCTGTGTTGTCTGGCTGGGCTTGCCTCCTCCCCAACACTCCCCAGTCAAAGGACTCTGGGAGCTGGGAGTGGCTCCCAACAGCAGCTGTGTCCCAGCTGCTGTGTTATGGGTTAATCATTTAACTGATATAATTAGGCTTTAAGTGAATTTTTAAATGATATTTACATTCCTAGCAGAGACTACCATGTACCCATTAAATGGCAATAGCTTTTGCTTGCTACCAACTGTGGTGGGACTTGAGCCAGCAACCCAGAGGTAAGAGGCACCTTATCTGATTTACCACTCTATAAATCACACACTCTTCTGTCTTTCTAAAACTGTACCTAAAATTAAAATAGCTGTTCTAAAGGATCAACAAACTGATGCCAGTCACCAGCGTTACTGCATGTACTCAAGGGCAAAGTGATATAATTGAACGATACTGTAAAAGAGACCTGAACCTTGCAAACCACTTTTAAAAGTGAATCTTGTCTGTCCATGAACTTTGTCTGCCTATGTCCTTAGATCAACATGGCTACAACCTATACCACTGTAAAAGAGATCAACTCACATGAGCAAGTTAACATAGGGATTATCATCACATAAATACAAGCACTGGTGCACTACAACTGTCATTTTGTTCCAAGGTTAACCGAAGGAAGACTGAGATCAAAGAATGTGGCATGCTGATTACATTTCCATAACCACACTCACATACCAAATGTTCCTTTTTCAAATGTTTTAAGTGAACAGGCTATTAGTGTTGCATTATACAACTAAATGGAAATTTCACTCCAAGGCTAGTATGTGGTGTTTACCTTTACATGGGGATTAGTTATGGGAGCACTGTCAGCACTTAAGGCAAACCATTCACAGTACATTAAGAGAGAACCAATTTGAGCAAAAACAATCTCCAGTATTACTGTGCTTGCTAATGAGTAGCATTCTGAAGACACAAGAATAGCAGTAATTATGTGAACAGTAGGTTTTCATCCTCAACTTTGGAAAAAGAAATTAGAAAACACAGACTTTTGCCAAGAACAAAAACATTAACGACACCTTGAGCTTTTATAATGTTTTAAATATATTTTTAATTAAGTCCATCAGCACTCACTTATCTTCTTTTTCACTTGAAATATGCAGAAGTTATATAAAGCCTAGAAGAAATGCAGTGGCTAAGATTTTCCAAAGAGAACAGCAATTCTGCCTATCCACTTTTGCCTGCCTTAGAGAAGTTTGATTTTGTGAGAGTGCTGAGTGATCAGCTATCTTGGAAAAATTAGACTTTTTCAAGGTGTTTCAAGTCATCAGTTCAAATCACTAATCACTTCTGAAAATGTTGGCCAACAACGAGCAACCAAAACTATACTGTGCTATTATAAATACTGGGGGGATGAGAGGGTCTGAAGCTTGCATGAATACATGGTAAGAGCTTGGCTCCTTAGCTTTAGTGACTGCTTACCTTCCCATTGGCCAGTCAGCACCAGTGTTCTACTGATTACAATGTCAATCTCTCTTGCACCATCTTCCACTGCTATTCTAATCTCATCCAATTTGGTTTGCAGAGGAGTCTGTCCAGCTGGAAATCCAGTTGCCACTGGGGAGAATGGGGAAAAACGCACTGATCAGTAAACAAACACTATAACTAGTAAGAAGCACTGGAGGTATACAAGGCCAATCTCCTAAAAGGAAAATTATTCTACAGATCAAAACTCTGAGGTTTCCTCTTTTTTTAAGAAATTGAACCATCGGCCTTGATATTTTTTTCTGTTTAACTCATACTATGCAGGAGAAAATTATTTCTGAAGCTGTCCTCAAAGTACTAAAAGTCCATCCGCACCTTCATTAGTAAGAGCATTCATTAGCTCTTCCCTCAAGTGTATTAACTAGTGATTCACTTAGTTTTTAATGCACCTTGCACAAAGGTCTCTTTCACATCTCTTGGAACTATTTCCAAGTCAGCCTTGATAAGCAAGGACATAAATGGAGTTCAGTGGAGTTGTGCCTGAATAACCAAAGGCTGAACCTGGCCTCATCCATCAAGTGATCTTTGGTGTGTAAATTCTCGAATCTTCTACCATTCTTAAAAGTAAGTGCCACTAATATGTAGCTTAATAGCCAAATCATAATCATAATACTGTACAAGTTCTACATAGACTACTCAACACATTCCTTTGGTTTTACTTAAACATATACGCAATATACATGTAAGGCTGGAAAAAAAATCATGCAGGATAGGTCCATCAGTGGTTATATTAAACATGATAGGAGGGCAACCGCCACATTAGGACTTCCTGGTACCCTCCCAACTTTCTGAAAGATGAAAACAGATCTGTCTACATACACCCTGCATATATACTTTTCTCTTTAGCATTTTCTCCCTGCCACTGTGAGATACAGGGTACTAGCTTCAATGGAACAATGATCCGACTCTGTAGGGCACTTATGCTATTATAGGTGACTGGGAATGTCACCTATAAAAGAAACTGGCTTTGTTCCTTTTTTCCCTGCTTTATGATGTTGAAATATAACTGGAAAGTGTTCTCTTCTCCTCAAAGTAAATAGAAATTTTTTTTTTAAAATCACATATATTTCTGGGTGGTTTTCATTAATGGCAACTGAGTCAATACTGAATTGATGGCATCTGAAGAGTGAAGAAACTGCTAGCTCTCCTACAAGCAAGGACCCCTACACCTGGAGAGAGTGTAAGTGGTTTACCTGCAACTGAAAGGTCCAACCACATGGAACAGTCTGCAAGATTGTTCCTTAATAGTAGTAGATCTGTAGTTGTTAGCCTCTGCTTTGTCTTCAGAGTTAAACCTCTTGATTTTGATCTGTTGATGTTAATATCTAAGTTAATGAGTAATTCTGCTACGTAAGCTTTGTTATCCTTGCTGTTTCAATTCAGGTAAGAGAGTAAAATATGCACATCTCGAAGGCCCTCGCTGCCCGTCACACACCCCAAGATCCTTCATACTGCTGATAAGCAAACAAACACAAGCCTTCTTGGTGTTTACTACAGACTTTAGAAAATAAACAGGAGACAAGTCCTGTTAAGAATTATTTTTTAAAAAGGAAAGAAAAAAAAAAAAAAGAAAGAAAAACTTACCTGAAGCTACTGGTATGTTACATCCAGCAGCCTTAAGTGCTTTAACTGAATCAGCTACTCTAGCTGGATACACACAGACAGCTGCAGTAGTAATACCTGCAAAAAGTTTCAATTAATTGTTTCTTGTGCATATTTCCATGCTATATATCTACAATAAGGGCCTGTGCATACCATTGTCCTACCACCCCAGGATCTGCACTAATTGCAGCAACAGTGATAACACTACTGTCAACAGAGCTCAAGTGGCCAGGGTTGTTACTACTACCATGATTTTTTATTCTGTCCCAAGAGCAGAAATCTCTGTTAGATCTAGTGGTGTCTAGCATGTGGGGATTTGCACTGGCAGTAGTACGCCCATATAATTTTATTAAAAAATCTAGTGTGGACATAATTCTGACATCTTTAAAATGCCAATTTAAGACCAGTACAATAAGGAATTTATTATATGAGGAACTGTACTATATTCTGTCTAAGGGTCTATTGTATTGTTTGTAAGAGTTAGTGATTGAACACTTCAAGTGAGACCTGGCTTTCATTCTGTTCCCTTTTTTACATTTTATCCTCACAAATTCTAATAAAATTAGCCTGCTATATAATAATAAAGACTAGTCCCCTTTTTTAATATGGCCAAAAAACAGGGGGTCTGATTTACCACAGTATTACATGAATTTTACAGAGGCTAAACTCATTAATGGAAGACAGTTAGTGACATAAAAGGGGGCAGACAGAAGTGACAATTTTCGCCCAATCTGGCCACAGAAAGCAGTTTATAGCCTTGACCAAACAAGTGCATGGCAGAAAACTACAAAAATGTACAACCAAGTGAAAATCTGACCCCTCGTTGCATGAGTTCAGTCAGGGAGTTTTTCAGTCGCCACTGAAGGATTGGGCAGGTGTATTGGAGGAGCCCCAAGGTGCAGGGGTTCCAATTCACCCACCCCACCATCCGGCACTGGCTGGGGAACCCCTAGAATGAGCTCCTCTCCTCCCTTTCCCCCCTCCAATTATGAAAATTTTGCAGTTTGACCAAGAGGAAGGGCTGTTGCTAGGGGAAATCAGCTGCAGGCTGTCAGCCAGCAGCTAGATTCTCCCCCCACAAATCACCAGTGAACTTCTGTTTGTTCCAGGGGATCCTTGCAATTCAGAAGGCTTCCTGCAAAGTGTTCTCAGTTACAGCGGGGACTTGCACTTCTGTCTGCACCCAAAGTGTCACAATGGTAAATAAGGCCCTAACCAATGTGATTCATGGTGTTCTTGTAGTTAGTTTGTTATAGCACCAGTGTAATGTCATGCAATCACATGATAATGCAAAACATCCTCCTCATTTTTCACATCGGTAGAATATAATCTCCTGGGAAATTATAAAATTTACCACTGCAACCATTACAAAAAGATGTCATCTTGCCAGCAGTTAACAAACTTGGTGTGGCTATCTTAGTGCCTTGACAACTTCATTTTATTCAGTGATAAGTGTAACACTAACATTTGTGTTTGGACCCACATCTAATTTCACCCTAAGTGGCTTATTATGGGAGTTCTGCCACTAACTTGAATGGGCGAGGATTTCATCTATCATATCCTAAGTTTTTGTCGACTCTAGCAGGGTTTAGACATTTTTGAGAATCACATCATAGAAGCAGACAGAGCTAACATGCCAAAATAGCCTGTTGACCAGAGGTTCCCAAACTTTTTCTTATTGCATACCCCTTTCAGATTTACCAGCTGCCTGCGTATCCTTACCAGCATACGTTTTATATTTAACTCCTTAGCTGCCAATTATTATTATAATGAAAACTGCATCCATCATTATATAAGTTCTCCTGTATACCTCCCAAAGATGCCTTGCGTACTCCTAGGGGCATGTGTACCACAGTTTGGGAACCCCTGCTGCAGATGGGTTTTGAAAAGGTGAATGAAGAGCAGATTCTCTGTTAAATATACAGTATGTGTCTGTTTGCACCAAGGCAAAGAGCAAGATCCCAAAACTATGCCAGTTAAAACCCGCTCAGTATAGGACCAAAAATATTTACTCTCCTTTCTAGCCATGGGCTGCCTGCTCTCCCGTCTCTGGGTTTGTCCTGAGGCTTGCTGCTTTGGCTTGGTTTGCGTTGCCTTTTTTTTTTTCTAGGTTTTTTTGGGGTGGGGTTTGCTACCAGGAAATCCTGGTAACAAATTATGCCCTGGCCTGAACATCTGTTCTTAGTAATCATTCCTACAACTGATTACTAACAACATCATCACATGCATTGAATGCAAACAGGCTTAGTGCCACCTTACAGTATAGTTATTAAAAGACACACACATTATGAGTTTCCTTATTTACTCTCTTAATGATTTCTATATTAAATACACTCATTTTTATCATAAAAAAGAGATCGTTCTCTTACTACTCACACTTCAATCTCAATCTTGGAGCTAAAAACCAAGGGGAGGCTTTTAATCTTCACCTTGCCTCATCACCAGAGATACCTATTCTGCAGTCAGAACTTGTTCAAAGAACGTGTCATGTAAAAGACTGGAGAGTATCCATTTTGCTCTCCCAGGGGTTTTTGGCTAAGCAATTCTAACTTGTAAGAGGTTTGTCAGTAAGGCTCAGGAGGTAAGTGGTAAAGAACATGTTGTATTTACTTAGAGATGGCACACCTTTTACTGCTACAATTTTATACCGCCAAAGCTTGTAAATATTATAACTAAAACCATATATTTGTCATAAATATTCATACCTTTGTCTTGCATATCCATAACTCTCAACAGATCCTCTCTGATTGGATGTGCAGCTTTGTAGCACAGCCTATGAATGTTTGATGGCGTGTCATCACCTGAGAGTGTGGTGAGGTCTATGCAAGTGACAGCTCTCAGTAGCCAAGCAGCCTTTATTAGAGGTAGAAAAGAGAAATTCAGAAAACAGCTTCATTTTTCAAAAGCACCCAAGCCCATGCCCTTTTTTAAAAGAAAGTCACACAGGAGCATATGTTTAATTGATAATCATCAGCAGTGTTTTTGGAAATTTTACATCAAAATCAGAAAACTTCTGAGACTTGGCAACACAGAGGATGTGCAAAGAATGACCCAAGATATATAGACATGTCAGAGCATTGTTCAGGTCTTGTGAAGTCCAACAGCACAAAAAGGTTTTAGATCTAAAAGACAGCTGTAAGGATCAAGAAAGTCTAGGCAAAAAATTCTACTAGGATCCTAAACCACTGGTTCTTAGATTTTGGGACATGGAAGAAGAATACAACCTTCATCTAGCAGAGTAGTTCTTGTACAGCATATTCAGCCAACCTAAGGCAGAGCCTGCCTCTATGAAAATGTATGCACTCTCTAAAGTACCATATTTACTCAAATATAAGATGACACTGAAAATAAGATGACCTCCCAATAATTATATTCTATATAAGGAAAATTTATAAATTTGTTATAATTTTCCAAGCATATAATCTAATTATTGGAGGGCTGTCTTGAATTTGTCCTCTCTTCCCATTGCTACAGCAGGGAAAATAAATCTGGGGGGGTCAGATAGCTACTCTTACACTCTGCCACACCCCCACCTTCTTCCCCCCTGCAGCCCCTTGCTCCCTTACTGTCAGACCCTGCTCTCCCTGCGTACATAGAAGTGAGGAGCAAATTTGAAAACACTGATTTTGAAGTAAACAGGCCTGTTGTAATTCACATATAGGCAAATTACTATGGGTATCCATAAACTTAGTTCATCCAGAACTGAGACATTTTACCCTTTTTGAAACAGCTACAAGTTTTAGCACAGGTACTCCATAAACAAGCTTTGAAGTAGCATTTTTGTACTTATTTATGTATAGTACAAACTATGTATGATATTAGTCCACAGCCAAAAGGTTAATTGATTTACCATGGTTCAGTGGGCTAAGCCCCACCAGAATTAATAGAATTTTAAGCAACAGTGGCCCCACAGCTCAGCAGTGCTCAGTTTGTGTCTCCAGATACCCACCACAAAGGATCCAGGTACTAATTAGTTCCCAACTCATGACAGGAACCTCATGATTTTGGTATGAGTCCTGGGATCCTCCAAAAATGTATATGCAGATGAAGCATAGGGCAACGGGATCTGGCTCCACCTCACAGAGGGCAGGATTACACTAATCGCTTGCAGCAAGCTAAGAGAGAGGGAAACAGAGGGATTCTGGGTGAACCATTTGCAGCGCCATTTGATAATGTTTGCCAGACGTTTAAGGCTGATGAAGAAACAGAAATGATTGGAAATGGGAGAGAAAGGCAGAGCTCAGCTGTGGGAGTGAAGAAAAAGTAAAAATTCATTCAATGCAGTGGCTTACCATGACTTTTCACAGATTTTTAGGGGCTGGAAGGGACCTTGCAGATCATCTGGTCCAGCCCCCGCCCTCTAGGTAGGAAAACAACTGGGATTAGGTGACCCCAGCAAGGTGACTCCTCTTGAAAACCTCCAGGGTAGGTGATTGCACCACCTCTGGAGGGAGTTTATTCCACAGTTGGGACACCTTGCTTGACTGTGAAGGATTTTTTTTCCTGGTATTAAGCCTGAAGTGGCCTTCCAGGAGTTTGTATCCATTGGTCCTGGTCTTCCCCAGGGGTGCCCTAGTTCTTCGACCTCCTGATGCACTCCTCTGATATAGCGGTTAGCCACTATCAAGTCCCCTCTCAACCTTCTCCTCTTTAGGCTAAAGAGGCCCAGGTCCCTCAGCCTTTCCTCATATGGCTTGACTTGCAAGTCCCTGATCATACAGGTGACTCTTCTCTGGACCCACTCAAGCTTTTCCATATCCTTACTGAAGTGCATAGAAAAGAGACTCGAAAGAAAGTCAGTGCTGAGGGGGACTGTGCACAACGGGCACTACAATATATTTTATTCAAATGGGCCGCACTACCCTTTTCTTGTTGTAGGTTCCTATCAATATGTTTACCTAATATAAGCCAACATTTCCCAACATTTTTTGCCCTATGGCACACTTACCTAAATAAAAAAGCACCGCAGCACATCGGACGCAGAACAGGGGAGAGAGTAGGCCGGCACGTGGCCACCAGACGGGGCGGGGGAGAGGAAGGGTGGCACACAGCCAGCCCGATGCTGCCTGCCTGGCTGGAGCCAAGCTCCCCATCTCAACTGATGGCACACCAGTTGGGAAACGCTGATATAGGCCATGTGTTTTATAATCCTGCTCAGTGTTAGCTGTATTTATTCAACTTTGTAGTTGGTTTCCATTACTAAGCAGAAATTGCTTTTGGCAGCACTTTAATGATAAACAATATATTTAATGAAGCTTCTTTGTATGTGAATGTAAAATAAGGAGCTTCTTTCCCCACCCTGATTGGGGGGAAAAAATTCTCATCTTATATTTGAGTAAATACAATAGATATGTGAGCTGCATACTTTCATACATTTGCACCCCTGATCTATGTACATTCATGTTAATGGAAGATTTGCCAATTACTTCAGTAATGCCAAGGTTTCATCCATGTTATTTTGCATAATTTCTTTTTAAATTGTGGACCTCAAACTATAGAAATGTCATCTTTCCCCTCTGTAAAATAGGTATAAAATACTGATATATCTTGAAAATAAGTTGCAACAACTGATAAACATTGCTAAAGCTTCATCACATCCTTGGATGAAAGTTGCTGCAGACTTTCAAATAATTAATTACTTTAACAGTTAATAGTTTTTATAGTCACCTAGGGTTTTTTTCTTTAATTTTTTCTTTAACTTAATTTATATGTTTTACATTTTTATAAAAATATTTTCCACAGAAAAAAGACTGAAAGAGAAAAGAACATTTAATCACCCACTAAAAAGAAATTTTAGTCTGATCCCTTGTGAAATGAGTTGTGAAGTTGTGAAGACAGATGTAGTAAAAGGCTTCCAAGAATTGGTGTGAACTTCATTTAGTTAAAAAAAAAAATTGGCTTTTTAGAAAAGTATGTTTTTGGAGAAGGGCTAAAGCCACAAAGTTTGGATCTGGAATCTTCTCTAACTCCAAACTTTCCCTCAAATTTAGTCAAGCTTCAAGTTCTGACCCATCTCTGGGAATCGGGGAATACATGTATATTTTCATGCAATTGTGTTTGAGTAGATCGAAACAACCTCTTAGGCCAGGTCCACATGAGCAGAGGTATGCCTTTACAGCAGCACAAATAGCAGTGGCACAAATTTGTGTTGCTGCTTGGTGCCCCAATGCATGCCTCTGCCCATGTGCTTTGCAGCAGGACACATTGTCCAGCTGCTCCAAAAGCTGCGGGGTGGAAAGAGGGCCTGGCTGAGGCACAGGGTGCCTCAGCAGGGGCTAGCCTTCCCCTGCCTTCATCCTGCAACGCAGCCAGCCAGAGATTGGCACATGGAGATGGGGAGTAGGCAGCCCACGGTTGCCTGCTCCTCCATCTCCCTGCACTATGGAGCCCCTTTGCTGAGGCACCCTGCACCCTGGACAGCTGCTCCCTGCCTGGCTGGGGCAGAGAGTGCCCAAGACGGGGAACAGGCAGCTCCACAGCTGGCTGGAGTGGGCTGTGCCTCAGCACAGGAACCGCACATGCCTTGGTGTGGGGGCTCTGCAGTGGAGCCCCCATGCTGAGGCACACGGAGACAGGGGAGCAGCCAGCCCAAGGCTGCCTGCTCCCCCATCTCAAGGCACTCTGCACCCCAGCCAACTAGGGAGCAGCTGGATGGGGTATAGGACACCTCAGCAAAGGGGCTCCACAGCGCATGGAGATGGGTTTGTCTCTGGGTTTGTCCTGGCGCTTGCTGCTTTGGCTTGGTTTGCATTGCTTTTTTTTTTTCTAGGTTTTTTTTTTTTCCCACCAGGAAATCCCGGTAACAAATTATGCCCTGACACTGCAAATTTTAGCAGTGCCAAGCAATGATTAATGTGCAACTTGTGTAGTCTGTGGCACTGCAAAGAGATTTACAGCACTACAAACCACACATGTCCGCACATCTGGAATCAGCCTTAGTGCTCTTCACAGGAAAACTGCCCGTCAGGTGCAGGACTCTTGGTCCCAGCATGCGTGTGGGCCCAGAAGTTTCATGCAACCCTGTGCCATAGGGATCACATCTGTTGTGATCCCCTGGGCATAGGGGTTTCATGCTCGGCATGGTACATTCCTACAGCTGAGAGTCCCTGCTATATGTACAAATTAAAGCTCGACAGCAACCAGTTAGCACACATTTTTCAGGTCTAACTTTATAGCTGGTTGGAGCTCTATCTTTTGTGATAGCTACTTTGCACATGTAGCTGGTCTTAAGGTAATTGCACAATTAACCAGTTAATTGCACAATACCTATAACATGTAGAGAGGGCCCAAATCTCTGCAACCCAAGTACACTGCATTCTCTTTTAGAACAACCCAGAAAGTCAAGTATTAAACCCACTTGACTCAGATGCTAATGCCTACACACGGAACTAAAGAATAAGGTCTAAACTTTCTAAAGGCTGTCAAACTTTGAAAGCACTCCACATTTTTAACTATCAATGGTATTACTAGGGCTGAGGCCAACTGATTTTGTTACTAGTTGACATCATTCATGACCTTAAACTGTACAGGAACATCTTAGAAATTGGCTTACTGTCTCCTATGTCTGCTTTAATTTTATTCTAATAGACCAAAAAAGCAGTTCTGTTCAGTGGATTAAAACAGACACACGCCCTTTAAATGCTATGGCTTTTAACAGGGTTTTGTTTTTTTTAATTAGAAATTATTTTACAGCATCTTCCACTGGGATCTCATGCTAGATACACTGCGTTCATCCTGATGCAAGAAAAACTCCCACAGTGGTCCATAGAAATTCTACTCAGCTTACACGAGAGCTGCATATATGCCACCCTGACCCCATCACAAATGCCCCTGCTTTTGACTACATGGCTACCTCTAGCACTTAGCTCAGAACTGCCAGTGACAATTAAACACTTAAACTGAAAAAGTTCAACTGGTCTCTTGTTTATTCTTGGCAATAAGCAATCTTTACTGACTGTATTCATTTTTATAATTGCTGGCCTAGGTGCATATTATTTCTCTTTAAGTCCCTGTCACAGTGGTTCTCAACGGGGTATGGTGGCACAATGGGTGCCACAGGCCAGCACCACCAGCACCAAACTGAGAAATGGTTGTGGGAGAAAGGCACGCTTGCCTGCATTATATTATGCAAGCAGACAGGCCACTTCTGCTGCAGCTCTTCCCAGTTTACTCCAACATGCCTCCTGAAAACAGAGGTGTGCAGTGCAGTTCCATCTGGTGCAGGGGCATCTATTTCAGCAGGCTGAAACTGCCCCAGGCACCTCCACTTTCAGAACACACATCAGAGCCAAACTGGGAAGAGCTACAGCAGAAGCAGCATGAGGGCCTGCATAATGTAATGCAGGCAGGTACATGTTTCTGCTGCAACTGCTTCTCAGTTCAGCTCCAATATGCCTCCCAAAAGCAGAGGCACGTGGGACAGTTCCATGTGTCCCACATGCCACTGTTTCCAGGAGATACCATGTAGAGGAAGATCTGGAAAGGCAGTGGTAAGAGCACAGACTCATGCCACAGCCACTTCCCATGGTTATAATAGTGATCACACTGTGACAACCCCTTGGCCTTCCCCCTCCTGCTTCCCGAGTCTCACGTGTCCTTTTGCCCACTCTATTCCCCTTCTCCCCTGCTCAGTGCTCCCTATGTACTAAAGGTGGAGCCTGGGACCCCATCCCTGAAACATCCCTGCCTGAACTCCCTCCTGCAGCCCCAGGGCTACAGTTTAGGAAAGATTGCTTTGGAGTAACTAAGGGAAGAACTTGGCTCATTGGTTCCCAATCCCCACTAGTGACCCAGAATCACATGTGGAAAGCCCACTGCTATGTTGGGTGCACATGTTTGCTGGACCACACAGCGCTAGGGAAGCACTCCTAGCCAGTGGCCTGAAGAGGGGAATATAATTATCTAATCAATTATGACATAATAATTAATACAATTGTAACATTTAAAATATTCCTAATTTATTTATATTAGTTTTTAAGTGGGGTGCCACTTGAATCTGAAAAAATGTGAAGGGGTACCTCAAGTCTAAAAAGGTTGAGGACCACTGCCTTATCACAACCTTTCAGTGGGTGAAATTCTGCTCACCAATACAACTTCCACTGGAATCTTTGAAATCTGTGCACGTATTTGAAATAAGAATTTGGCCAAGTCTCATGACAATTTTGCACCCACTTAGTTTTCTTTTTACAAGACCCAGTTATTCAAACTGTAGAAGAGTTGCAAAACATTTGTTATTACATGTGACCCCATGGACACCAATGGAACTGCTCAAATAAGGATTGGTTTCCAGGCACAAGGGTGGCAGAATTGAGTCCTAACACATGTATATCCTTGTTTCTTCATAAGAAGCCCCACAGAAAGATGTTAATTTTGAGACACAAATAACAACTGGTTAAGCAAAATTGCATAAAGCAAAGACAACTATCGAGGTAGGTCAAACTTGACAGGGACCATGATCATATCTTACAGCTTTAAAATTAAAAAATAAGAAGACTGAGTGTAGAGGGGGTCTGTCTGGGAACCAGAATGAATGTGCTGGGATAGTAATATACAATTTAATCCACTCATGAATAAAGATGCCTTAAATTCATTTGTGGTTTTGCCACTCATGAGTTATCAGGTTTTTAACTTGTTTGGATAAATGTGTCATCTTATCCCAACCCATCATCATCAAATACAAATTATTAAAATAAGACACTGACAACCACAATCTTTTAAGTTTACATGCATCTTGAACAAAATTCAATATTACAGCCTAGAGAGGATGAATGACTGCTTTAAAAATACAGGAACAGAATGCTTAAAAAGAGCACTTACTTGCCAATCCTTTTTCACAGTTCTCCGTTTCTGAATTTGTTCTGCATGCCTTATAATGGCAGGTTGATTCACTTGCACTTTTGAGATCCAGCCAAGGTCTAGGGGGAAAAATCTGATTTATTTTGTGTATATTTAATATATCTAATGGCATTTTAATAGGAAAGTTGCTTCAAGTCCCTTGAAGGTAGCTTTGTGGTGGCATGCGCCTTTAACGGCTTAAAAGCATTTGGCCAATACCAAATATTACAAACCCCAAAGCCTTAGCTAATGTCAAAACATATTCAAGGGAAAGCTATGTGAAGCCAATGTTTACACAGACTTTTGTTTCCCATAGAAATAAAAGTTAACAATGCTAGTGAAAGATGCTACTTTGCAACCGATCGAATCACATAAAAGGTCTATACCAGGGTAGTCAAACATCCAGCTCTGTCATCAGGCCCATGGTGCTATCCCTGAGTCTAAGCAGATCCATATGGGGCACAGCACCCACAGACAGGCCCAGGGCAAGCACCACACTTGGCGCCCGTTTACAGGACTGCACTGCGTGGGTAGACACAGGAGCACAGATCCCGGAGTGGCTGGAATGGGCACCACATGCAGCAAAGTCCAGCCAGGGATGTGTAGTGTGGATCATAGACCAGTTGGACTGTACCACATGTGACACCTGCTCCGGCTGCTCCAGGATCTGTGCCATACATAGTGTGGGTCTCAGACTGGCTGAAGCGGGCACTGAATCTAGTATGCTAGAGGAAGGAGGAGAGGCGATCTGTGGGCTTGATCTGGCTCACACACCAGCCTCCACTCATCTCATCCGTACAGCCATATGAGTTTGACATCCCTGGTGTATGCACAATGCAGCCTTCAGTTAACCACTAATGTGCTTCCCTAACCACTGACTTCAACAAATGACTGGTAAGAATTAGATAAAATTCATTTAGCCTTCGGTTGTTCTACACAGGCTGACAGACAGTACTGATTGTAATGGCGTCCTTTTTCTTCTATGCAGACACTTGTCCACTAGGAATTGCACTCACTCCTTGCATACTTTCCACCAAAGCTACCACATAGTCTCAAGATGGTGAAGCATTTGGATCACTGTTGTTCTGGATTAATTTGAACTAGTAAAGTAGAAATTTGGCCCAGTATTATTACCAATTTCCAGAACCATCAAGTCTTTGGGAAATGTATATGAATGCACACTGATTAGCCCAATACAATAAAATGCCAAACCATTTTCTTAGAGGTGTTGAACATTTGAAATCCTTGGAAGAAAGCAAGGGCAGAACATTTAAAACTGAACTCTGATCCTGATAGCCTACAAGAGAAGATCTGGTTCAGATTTACAAGGATGCTGGACACCCCGCAAACTCCAAATGAAGTCAATGGGAGCTGCATGCTTCTCAGTACTCTGACAGGTGCAAACTGATATAAAATGAACACCAAAAACCAAAGGCACCCAAAAAACGGCCACTTTTGAAAAGGTGGCTAGATAGCAAGCAGCAGAGGAGGGCAGAGAAAACATTTCCGTATTTTTTATTTTAAAATCTTTCCTCGTTTCAGCTTGGATTAGTGTTCATTTCTATACAAGTCCTCTCAATCATGTATGAGCTGATGATAGAACTGAAGATGTGAAGATAAACCTTGTCTGTTTTACTGTTTTCAAATCATGAGATTTAAAATATTTTAGTTAAGGCATTATTTTCCTACTTCAGATGTTGCTGAGATTTACTAGAGCCTGGATGCTCAATCCCTGGCCCATAAGTCAGATCCAGCCTGCAGAGCCATTTCATCTGTCCCGTGGGACTCCCCAAAGTCTGGAAATACGGTAGTGGGGGAGCGGTGGCAATTAATGCTGCCACAGCTCTACCACCACCAAATTTCTAAGCCCCACATGGCTGGACCAGCCCTGGCCAGGCCAGTCCTGCATGAAGAAATTGGCCCCCAGAGTGATGCAGCTTGACTGTGCCCTGACTGGGCCATTCCTGTGCAATTGGACTGAGCCCCAGCTGGGCCAGCACCGTGCACCCAACTGGGTCCACAGACTGAATCCAATCTGTACACTGACCTGGAATACTCATCCAGCCTTTTGTCATTCCAGGACAAAAAAGTTTGGCGCAACTGTATTAGAGGATCAAGGAAAAAACAAGCGACTGGGAGATTAACTAAGAGTGTTAGAAAGGCAGGAGAAAGGCAAGAATCTAAGTTTTGACTGTGGTAATTGGCAAACTATATCTGCAGAGAGTAACCATCTTTCAAAATTTAACATTGTACCTTGCCAACATTTTCTTACTTCCATGTATTTATCTATGGCTAATTCAACAGGTAACACATACAAAAACAAAACAAAAGCAAAAACCAAAGCACTGGTCACAGGCAAAGTTAACATGTGCATCAGACAACAGGTCATTAAAAATATGAAGCATTTCTGTCGGGGTTGTGGCAATGTTCTCAATCTATACCTATCCGTAAAGTGTAATAGCAGAACCTCAGTAATTACTCATTTACAAACCTACACAGTCTCTCTTAAATAGAGGTATCTCAGCCTACATCTTTACAAATCTCTCATACAGTTCTGTAGCTGCAGCCCTTATTATTTGTGGCTGGAATTTTTCTCCCTTTTACAATTTCTGACTTTTGAAAAGCAGCTGGAAGACATTTGAAAATGAACATAAAAGTAGTTTTACAAGATGGCTGCTCCCCAGGGAAGACCTTTGAGTCCTCTACAACAAAACTCCACTGAGACCCCTAAAGTGATCAGTGTATAGGGCATGTTGCCTCCCAGAAGCCATTATGTACAATGTTTGACTAGGTCTGCAGAGAGGAATTAAATAAGATCTGTGACTGAGCTGTGATTCTCCTAGTATGTGCCAAGTGTTCAGGCCGAATCATTAGACCCTACTACAATTTATCAAGAGTCTTGATAACTTTAGCACCCTACCGGGTGCAGAGTAACCTTTCAGCCCCACTGGAAGATTTGATCAATTCATTTAGAAGTTCAGTTCCTCACCTGAAGTGTTTTAACCCTTCAGTAAATGCCAGTGGCCACAGTTACTCTGGCACTAGAGGGAAACAATGAAGGGGCTCTCCCTATAGGAGGGGTGGGCAAAATACGGCCCACGGGCCAGATCTGGCCCACCGGGCCTTTCTATCTGGCCTGCGGGGCCCCTAAAAATTTTAGAAAATGCATATTTATCTGGTCCTGACTGGCTGTCAAAGATGACAGAAAGCCAGAGGTAGTAAGACCCAGCAGAAGCCAGCAGCAGGACCCAGGAGCAAGGCCAGCCTGGCCCTGCCCCACCCCAGCCCCCTCCCACCCCCACCCAACGGGAAGCCACTGCCTGCTGCCACTTTCACTGCTTCCCTGTCCGCCCACTGGCCTCCAGCACCACGTGGCCCTCGGCTGCATCGCTGGACCATGGGAGCATGGGGCTGTCACGACCCAGTGGTTTTGGTGCCTCGGCACTATGGAATTTCCTGACCACATGAGAGCTCTTTTGCACGGCAGAGTGTTCTGCTGCAATTGAGAACCCACGTGTAGGAGAGAGTTCCTGCCAATTTGCAGTTTCCTTTGCAGGATGCATTTCTTCTTTGCAGCACAGAAATGCACGGTGCAAAGAGTTCC